GCTAACATAAATCCTTGAGACTGGAGATTTATAAAGGAAATAGAGGCTTATTCACAAAACACACAGTTCTGGTGTCTGGGAAGTCCCAGAACATCGCAAAAGGGCAGAAGACTTGAAGTATAACCAATGTAAGCACAGAGGATTGCAGACATGTGCAGAGAGAGAGAGACATCTGTGGGAAGCTCTCTCTCTCTCCTTATAACAACCAGCTCTCATGAGAACTAACCTCTTCTCCTGAGAACGAGAACCCATGGGGTCTTGAAACACATCACTCATCTATTCATGAGAATGTTGCCTCCATGATATAGTCACCACGATTTAATCACCACCAACTTGCCTTACTCCTTCCAACATCAAATTCCAAAGCATGAAGCTTTTGGGGACAAACTATCACCCAAACTGTAACACTGCATATCTCTGAATTTGACACACATATGAAACTAGACCGTAGAGGGCACTGGTATGTGTGGTTTCCAAGCATTAATAAATTGAAAAAAAAATTACATCTAGCAACATGCAGCACTTAAAATAATAATTTTAATAAATTACTTCTTTTCCAGCATTTATTTTAAGTAAGTAATGGTGTGCAAAGCAGCAGGGAAGATTTAGATATCAAAAGCTACTTATACTGTGAGCCAACGTAATGTTAATTGTTAATTCCTCACCTTCTCTCTCGCTCTCAGACATCTGCTATTTATATTGATAGGCCTCGGCAATTATACAAATTAACAAACATGAATAGATCTCTTTTATTATTATTATTCACATTACTTGCTCTTTTCCATTCTGAAAGAAAACAGTTGTGAAATTTCAGAGTAAAGGTCACAAAACAAATGTCATATAGGTCAACCATGTGACTTACATTACCAAAGAGGTCCAGATAGGTAAGATGGCAAACTGGAGAGGACATGCTCTACCTGGAGAAGAAGCTGCTGCTCATCTCCAGTTATTGTCATTTCAAAAGCTAATATCACCAGAGCTTTACATCTCTCAAGTCAAAATTTCAGAATTTCACAAGATAGCTCCTGATTTTTTCTAATCTCCTGATTTTTAAATGTTGGAAACTAACTCAAAGCACCACATGCCAAATAAAACTCATTCAACATGTGGCTTTACATTTTGTAAATTCTGTTATAAATTCTGTTAAGCCTTATTAAACTCAAGTATGAAAGAGTACTTTTTCATCTAGTGGAATGACACGGTCAAATTTGTGTTGAATTTATTTCTAATACAACTATATACATGCATGCATATACACCTGCACAAACCTCTGACTGTGTGAATGAATTACTTTTGAAACATTAACTTCTTAAGGCATAGCTTATAGCCTAACCTTACAGCTTTGGCCAGCACTGACTTATACTGTGATCTGGATATCCTCCAAAATTCATGTGTTGACAGTTCATTGTAATGGAATTAATGGAATAAAGGTGAGGCCTTTGAGAAGAGATTAATATTAAGGATGAGGCCCCTATGATTAAGTTCTGGAGAGGTTATAAAAAGAGGGAATGAGATGGACACATGGAACACTGCCCTCTGCCACGTTGTGAGTCAGCAAGAAGAATCTCACCAGAGAGGGTCCCTGGACCTGAGGCCTCCAAACTGGAGCTGAATAAACCTTTCTATTCTATTTTCTATTCTATTCTATTTTCTATTCTATTCTATTCTATTCTATTCTATTCTATTCTATTCTATTCTATTCTATTCTATTCTATTCTATTCTATTCTATTCTATTCTATTCTATTCTATTCTATTCTATTCTATTCTATTCTATTCTATTCTTTTTTTTTTTTATCTTATTCTATATTTTCTATTCTATTCTATTCTATTCTATTCTATTCTATTCTATTCTATATTCTATTCTGATCTATTCTATTCTGTATTTCCTATTCTAAAGTTTTGTTACGGGGTACATATGCTTGTGTGAGAGAGAGACAGAAGAAATAGAGAGGGAAAGTGAGAAATCACCTCCCAAGGAGGATTAAACACACTGCAATCCCTTGTCCTCCATTCTCCTCTCAGGATTTTGGGCACACATGCACACGCGCTGGGTGTGTTTTTTAAGCTATCAGGTCCAGGACTTGAAACGCACATTCAATCATGTGGAATTCAGCCATTTAACTTCCACACCACCTTCTGGACTCTATTTATGTATTTTAATTGTCAAAGGGCATGTGCATGTAAGCTCACATGCCCTTTGACAATTAAACTTTAATGGGGTATGTTCATGCAGCAATCCTTTCTCCTCTATTTCTCTATCCTGTTGGGATTTGGGACAAGCACACACAGATGCTTGGTATGATCTTTTGTTTGGTTCTTTTGTTTGATTTCCTTTTTGTGTAATTTTATTACAGAGTGTGTGCATTTGTCAGAGAGAGACAGAGACAGAGGGGCTGGGGAGTGGGAAAGCAACCCCCAGAGGGATGGCCACACTGCAAGTATTCTCCTCCATTCTCCTCTCAGGATTTTGAGTATGCATGCACACTTGCCCTGCATGTTTTCCAGCCACCAGTTTCAGGACTCAGAGGCATAGTCAGCCATGTGGGATTCAGTCATCTTAATCACCACCACTGGCCAGCTCTGTGCCTGGCATGATTTTAAAGGCAGGGGCTAGGATTCTAACCACAATTGGCCATGAGGGATCTGACTATTTTAGCCACTAAGCTATGGGGCTATCCCAACCTCTGCTTTTGCAAGTCACCCAGTTTCCAGTATTTTCTGTTCCTAGCCACAGAATGAGCTAGAACAACCTACAATTATTTTCCTCTCAGTGAAGATCTATATAGGGCTCTAGCTTGCTGTAATGGTAACATACTTCATAGGAGAGAAGACAAGCCCCCAAATGCAATGTGATTAGCCTCCATAGTCAGTCTAAGTGCAATGTTCTCAGATACTTGGACACCTACCTACAGCCGAGAGGTCATGGACCATGTTCCTCTGTCCCTCAATCAGGACTGGCATGGAGCCATTTCAACGAGCACTCACCCGGATTTTAACAACCAGTTGTTTTTTGTGTTGTTGTTGTTTAAGTGACTCTAAAGTCTACATTAACAAATAAAACATGGGAAAAGTTAAAACAATTTTTCCAGACTATAAGAAGAGTTGTGGAGTGGGGCCCAGCAGGTGGTGTGGAGGTTAAAGTGGCTGGATTCCACATTGAGATTCCACAATTTGAATCCTAGACCCAGTGGCTTCAAAATTGCACAGGGCACATGTATGTCTGCACTCCAAATCCTAGAGTAGAATGAAGGAGAAGGAATTACAGCATGACCATCATAAGGGGTGATTTCTCACTTTCTTACCCTCTTTCTCTGTCTCTCTCCAGTGAGCACATATGCCCAATAGCAAACAAAGAAAAAGAGAGTGAGCTGTAGGCAAGACACTACAGGGCACTGAGATCAAGAGCACTGAGAGGAAGTGGTCAAGAAGACTCATCATCCCTGGGGAGGGGACTAGAAAGAAGCCAACCTTCTAAAACAGAGCACTGAATGATCTTAGCAGAAGGAAGTAGAAATGCAAAAGCCCTGTGGTAGGAATAACTGTGTAAGTCTAAGTGACAGAAAGAAGGCTATGGTAGGTGGAGTGAGATGTGAGAAGAAGAGTGTGGGATTAAGATTAAATTGGAGGTACTGTCAGGGGAGGATAAGAACATGAGACAGCTTCAAAGTAGAAGGTCTTTAGCAGGAAATGACTTCATTCCATTTGTACTTTTAAAACTTACTCTGGCAAGTCATTCTACCTCTTTGAGCCTCTGTTCTTTGCTCTCTAAGATGAGGCTAGTATACAGGACAGTGTCATAGGACTCTTAAGAAAAGCTACATTAGGTCCTGGGCAGAAAGTGCTGAGGTCCAAGGGGCCCTCTGTGAACATGAGCTGAACCTGAGCATGTGGAAGAGAAGCTGTAACTCCACAGAGAGGAGGTGGGGGCTGAAACTAACAGAGCAGAGCTGCTCTCTTGAGCCCTGACAGCTCCCGCTCCTGAGAGAAATTGCAATTTTATGGCAGTCTCCCCTGTCCCCTTGTTTTGATGTCTCATGCCTATGTGGCAGCTATGTTCCAACTAGCATCCTATGGTGGCTTCCAACAGCAAAACTAATTTGGTTGTGTCATGCTGAGAGATCCGTCTTCTAATACAAATGTAACAGATTAGCATGCAAGGAATGGACTGCTGGTGGCCACAGGGAGTCACAAGATAAACTTCAAGAAACCTAAATAATGTGTGGTCACTCCCCCACTGCTGCAGTTAAACAGAGCCCAGGAAGGTGGGTGGTTGTTTCCAACAATAACAACCAAAAGACCAAAAGCCCAACCTATGAGAACCGTGTTTCCTCCCTGAGAACACAAGAAAAGAAGGTGATATTGTCAATCAGGCAATGTCTACTCAAAACAGCAACATGACCTCAAAACCAGCAGGTCCACTTCCGGTAGGTGCTCACACTTGTGGACAAAAAGGTCTGTGCAAGGATACTCAGGGTATTTGTGTGTGTGTAATGGCACGAGATTAGGAACAACCTGGATGTCCATCAGGTGGGGAATGATCACATCAGTGAGGGTGTATTGCTGTGGATGCACATTCTATGCAACTGTTAGAAAGCAAAGTCCAGGGATCAGCAGATGATGTAGCAGTTCCATCGCTGGACTCCTATGTGGCCAACTGTGGTTTGAGTCCCAGATCCAGTGGCTTCAAAATCACACTAGGTGCATGTGTATGCATGCCCCAAATCCCAGTAGAATGGAGAAGGGATTGAGGTGTAACCATCCTTCTGGGGGTAATTTCCCACTTTCCCTCTCACTGTCTCTGTCTCTCTCTCTCTCTCTCTCCAGAGAGCACACATGCTCTATGGCAAAAGCCCCTCAAAAAAAGAAAGGAAGGAAGGAAGGAAGGAAGGAAGGAAGGAAGGAAGGAAGGAAGGAAGGAAGAAAGAAAGAAAGAAAGAAAGAAAGAAAGAAAAGCAAGCAAGCAAAGTAAATATATAGGCACTGACAAAGAAAAGTCGAAGTGCTCGCTTCGGCAGCACATATACTAAAATTGGAACGGTACACAAAAGATTAGCCTGGCCCCTGCACAAGGATGACATGCAAATTCATGACATGTTCTATGTTTTTATTTTGGGGACAAAGAAATGGATTATTATCTATTGAAAATAACATTCTAGTATGGTGAATTGGACTGTTGTGAAATGCTCCCATGTTGGAATATTCCCTTTGTAAGCTAAGTAACGTGATTGAATGTATAAAAGAAATAGAAATAGACATTTTTTAAAAAATATAAGTAGCCCCTAAAAAAACAAAAACAAAAAAAGTTTGAAAAGCACTGTGTGTTAAGTGAGGAAGGTAAAGAGCACAATATAGAGTTGGCTACTATTTCTCAAAAGAGCAATATATAGTCATCTGAAAAGTGTGAAAAGTCATGATGTATTTTTTCTATGTTTCTCTATGCAAAAATGCATCAAGACTTTCCCAACAACTGTATGTGTGTGTGTGTGTGTGTGTGTGTATACATATATATGTATGTGTGTGTGTGTGTGTGTGTGTATATACACATTTTATTTTTTTTTAAACTGAGAGTCTCAGGGTCACAGCACTGAACAAATAAGTCATGGCTCCATGCAGTTTACAATCTGATGGAGGGAGACAGACAATACACAGGCAAATTCATTATATATTGGATGACGGTAAGCTATAGATCCAGTATTTATACTTGAATGTGATTGGACCATGTGAGTCTGCCAATAGGCAATCACTTTGACCAATAAATAAGGTAATGATATGAAGTTTAACCAAATATATCCAAACGAGTGTACAAGGAACAGGATTCCTCCAGGAACGGAGATTTGGAGAACTGCTTGCTGGACATGCCAGGAGCTGCTTAAACTTTTTTATCACATGCTTATATCGCCTATTCAAAACAAATAAATACTTTATAGAGATGAGGAAGGTAGATAAGGATGGAGTGAGGATTAAGAACTAAGAAGAGGTGGATTTTTTAAAATGCAAAAGTGAGCAGGTAACAGTAATATCCTGTAGAAGAGCAAGCATAGCTCAAAAATAACCTTTTATTTGTGATTCAGCTCAACCCCCAGGACCTGACCAAAGAGGCCAGTGGTAACCACAGCAGTTGCAGAGAAATCTGGGCCTGAGCTCACCTGGACTCTGCCCACAAGTACCCTCAGGGGTCTTTTGCTTGCAGTCAGTTCACTGACACAAACATGGATTTAAACACAACTTCTCATGATCACCCTCACATTCTCAGTGCTTCTCTCAAATGAGAAAGACCTACCAACCTGGTCTTCCTTGCAGGAAATGAAGACCCATGTGTTGCTCCAGCACGGGACAGAAAATATTGCAGGCAGCTTGGTCACATGGGTAGAAGTAGACCCAGAAGGAAGAGGTCATGCGGGACAGAAATGAGGAAGAGGCAGAAACAGGCAGGATGATAGCCAGACACACACAGAGAGTGGACCTGAGCTTCTGGAAGATGCTGACCTGGCACTGAGAAGTCACTTATCTGGGGCCAGAGCAAAGCTTAGTCTGCTCTGCAAGTGGGCAGTGAGGCCTACAGAGACACATTCAGTTTGAATCCTTGCTCTCTATGGCATTGTGCCCTTGGGCAACAGATGAGCCTCTCCGAGTCTCCATTCTCCATTCTGTACAGGGAAGATAATAACAAGACCTAACTAGTTAGTCTCCTAATTTTATTATCTATTTAGCTGTGTCCATTCCATCACATTCGTCTAGCTTTTGATTTTACTCTGTACGCTTATGCAGGATAATTTCCACGTCTTTATTTTTCTAAGTCCTCCAGAGCTTTCAGGATAGGAGCTTGTTCCAGATATAAGAGAGTATTTGGAGTCTTGAGAGGATTAACAATAGTGCCTACCTCTAAAAATTATTGGAAAATTAATTATGATAATGTTTAGGGAGTGCTTAGTACAGTTCCTAACACACCATAGGCTTTCAGTAAATGCTTCCCACCATTATTATTACTCTGCGAACACCACAGATATGCAGCACTAACATCAGAGAGGAGAGAGTAAAAATTGCTGGAAGCACATACCTCCAACCCCAGGCAACTGCCGAGACAGGAAAGTCCTTCCTTAACCCTCCAGAATTCTTTCCTCAGCTCTCCAGGAATGTGGAATATTTACACTGCACCGGTCTCGTGGCCAGGGCTGCACGTTGCACCCCACTTGGCATCTGGGTCTGTACAACCTGGCAGCCTCCCTGGGCTAAGGTTTCAGGTTTGCTGGGCTATCACTGCAGCATTTACATACTTCCAAGGTATCTCACCTCACCCTTCATGGCCACCATCAATGTTCCCAGTATCTCAGCCACCATTCTTAGCCTCAGTCACCCCCTAAACAGCAGGGGAAACACTCTCCTAACTCTCTCTTTCTGGTTCATTAGTCTATTTTAAATGATAGCAAAATATTTGCGCCTGTATCTCAAAGATGACTCTGATCATTTTTTGTAGGCACATGCTAAACTAACTTTTCAATACTAAGATTATCTTCCCAAGTGTTTATACTAGAGAGAATTTTAGATTTGGAAGGTAAGAGGGACCTCAGGGATTCCCTGGCTGCCCCCCTTTCAAGAGGAGACATTGAGACCCAGAAAAGGAAATGAACCTGATCAAGCCCACGCAGCACACCAGCAGTTCTATCTACTCCTTCACACCCCCAGTTTACCCAGAAGTCTGTGTCTCAACTCTGAGAACCATTTCAAGTAAAAAAGGGATTGCCAACACCAGCATCCAACCTTTGTTCTACTGGTAACAATAGCCCATTTCTTTTGGTCTTGAAGGGGATGTTGATAAAGGTGTCTGCCCTTTCAAGACCAAGGCAAGTCCCAGCTCAACCAATCACATCCATTCTCCAGGAATCTGCATCCCAGGAGGAAAGACACGGGTCTGAACTGACACCCTGCCTGTTGTGTGCTGGTACGACTGCCCTTGAATCCTTCTTTCTTGGTCCCCAGAGAGGCTCTCCTTCTTTTTCTTTACAGAGACATGCTTTTCAGAACCTCTGAAGCCTGCCAATGAATTATTTTCTAATATAAGTTACTCAGAGTGAGTTTCTTTTCTCTGCTGCCCTACTGCAGAACCAGAAGCAGGTATCTGCTTTGTGGTGGAGTGACGTTCACCAAGCATCCTTCAGGAATGATCCTTCCAAATCCCTAGTGCCTACTGTCTGTACCACCCGTGTCCATAAATGTAATCACACACCATGGCACACTTCTGTTAGGTTCACCCTGTAATGCTTATCTTCACAGACAGACAAAAACCTTCTTGAAGGCTGGAAACCATATTATAGATAAGAGGTCCTCAATTTCAATGGATCGTGATCAGCCATGACATGTGACACAACTAATTTGTTAGAATTCCAGTTCAAGCAGTGACATTTGAAAATGATTTAGGTTTTTCTGTAAGTTACAGCACATTCAAGATCCCAAAAACAACTGGCTTTACATTCTATTTCTTGGATTTTTTTTTTTTTTTTTTTTTTTGCTGTCTAAGGCTTTGGCTTACGTATTTTTAATCATATACAGAACAGAGCACATGCTCAATAATGTGTTGAATTGAATTGATGATACGACATCTTGCAAGCAACAAAATCATCACTTCTATACAACTTTTGAAATTCTCTCTTGCCCCCTTTACTCTTGGTCTCCAGCCCTCAAGAGAGAAAGTTCTTTTATCAATGCATTTAATCTTCATATGCTAGACCTCATTCCTAGAATAACTGTAGGAACGGTGGTTATTAAATCAAGCTCTTTAACTTGGGAATAAAATATACAATGTCTAAATGGAGAGGCCTATAAAGGAAACATACCCACTCTGTTTCACAGAATCTAAAAAAGGCAGCTCTGAGGGCTAGGCAAAATGAAGGGCCCCCATAGGTATCTACAAACTCGTCCCTGGAACCTTTGTGTATTCACCTTACACAGCAAATGGGACTTGGCAGATGTGATTAAGGCCAGGATCCTGAGATAGGGAGAGTGTCCTGGATTATCTGTGTGGGCCCAACGTATACTTAAAATAGTCAGAGAAGAAGCTATGATGACAGAGATAGAGTCAGAGAGGGACTGGAAGATGCATACTGCTGCCCTTGAAAATGAAGATGGGGCCATGAATTGAGAGGTTGAGGCAACCTCCAGAACCTGGAGAAGGCAAAACAAACGACAACAACAACAACAACAACAAAAAACACCCAGATCCTTTTCCAGACTCCCCAGAAAGAATTTAGCCCCACAACACGTTGATTTTAGCTGAGTGAGACCTATTTCAAACTTCTGACCTATAGAACTATAAGATAATAAATTTGTATCTTTTAAAGCCACACAGTTTGTGGAAATTTATGACAGCAATAAAGAACTAACATACCATCTATCAACTGCAAACGACTGTAGCAATTCTGGAGTGTTGGTCCAATTTGTCAGTTCTTCCAGATGGTAAAAAGAAACCCAAATCTAGGTATTTTAGGGAAAACTAATTTTATTTTTACAACATTCCGAGGCCCAGAGTGTATCTGCAGGCTGGATTCAGCCCACAGGACACCCTTCAACCTCTTCTTGACCCCGTAAAAGCCGTCCCCTTGCTTTATCCTGGAGAGTGGTCATTCAGCCTCTGCTCAGATGTGCTACATGACAGTGGCTGCCCACTCCCTTCAGCACTGTCCCAACCGAGGGCTGTACTATTTCAAAGTGTCTGCTCTGAAGCAGAGCTAACATTTAGCTCTTTCTCTGTCTCTCTCAAAGCCCTTGCCCACAGGTCCTCTCTTCCCTCTGAGACAACACGGGACTCTTGCCCCTCCTCCTTTACAGGACAGTCCTTCAAATGTTTGAAACTGCTCTCACAACCCTCTGCCTTTCTTCTTGAGACTTCTTCTGTAATCACCATCCTTCTCTCTGCTCACACTCTGCCTTCTCTTTGGCCCTTCTGAAATGTAATGACTGGTACCAACCAGCACACCACCCCACCCCAGATCAGAATTCAGGACAGCAAAACTATGGCTCCCATGTTCTCCATCTTTCAACTACAGGTCATATAAACTCTGCTTCAGGGACCAGCAGATAGCGTAATTGTGTCACCATGGGACTCCCATGTA